CAGGGGGGCGCACGCAGGGTCCGGCCTTCACTGGGGCGGTGGTGTCTGCAAGGTCATGGTTCCGGGCGCTAAAGCCTTGCCCAGTCCCCGCACAGCGATCCCCGGTCGGTCACACAGCCGGGACCTGCGGGCTCTCTTTGAGCCCTCGCTTATCTCCCACTCTGCCGGGAGGGAGCCGGGAGGGAGGCGGGTCTGGCCCCGGCCCCGCTCCTGGGGCCCCTCTGACATCACTGCAGCACTGAACATTCCTCCCTGAGAGGGTGCTGATGGGCAGACAGCTGAAGAATCTGCCCGTGGCAGGCGGGAGCTCCTGTGGCTGTAACTGAAGGTTAGAGTGTGGGGGTCCTTCCTCTGGACTCCGAGAGGGGCCTCAGGGCCATGGGGTCCCGTCCGCCACACACACACACATTCACAATGAAAAGCAAGACCGAGAACAAAGGCGAGGCCGCCCTGACGTGTGCCGGGTGAAACAGGCGAAGCTGCTGCAAATTCAACACAAAACCTGGGCCCTGGCCGGGTAGCTCAGTAGGTGAGAGCGTTGTCCCGATACGCCAAGGCTGCGGGTTCGATCCCGGGTGAGGGCACACACAAGAATCAACCAATGGCCCGGCTGGGGCGGCTCAGTGGTTGAGCGTCGACCTATGAACCAGGAGGTCAGGGTTCGATTCCCAGTCAGGGCACAGGCCCGGGTTGTGGGCTCGATCCCCAGTGTGGAGCATGTAGGAGGCAGCCAATCCATGATTCTCTCTCATCATTGATATTTCTATCTCTCTCTCCCTCTCCCTCCTTCTCTGAAATCAATTGAAAAATAATAATAAAAAATTAAAATAAAAAAAGAATCAACCAGTGAATGCATCGATAAGTGGAACAACAAATTGCTGTTTCTCTCTCCCTTCCCCTCTCTCTCTCTCAAATAAAAAAATGGATTAATTAAGACACGTCGGTGCTCCTACTTTGCAGATGTCCCCACAGTGAGTGTCAGGCTGCCTGTGGGTGAGTCCCCACACCAGGCCCTCCGTCACTCGGCACTTGCATCTAAAAATAGAAGTGAGGCCCCATGGCCCGGGCTGTCCTCGCCAAGCGCTCTCTGCAGTCATGTTCCTCCCAGACCCTCGGGGGCACATTTGCCAGCGAGGCCTGCTCCCCAGACAGCGACTCCCCTAAACCGACGAGGGTCAGGCCCCAGTGACCCAGAGGCCGGGTTCCCCGTGGTCTCCAGGCATCTGGGCCTCACGGCCCTTGTTTCCAGTGGAACTTGGACGGAGCGGCTTTCCACGAAGCCAACGAAAGCAAATGCTCAAGTCGACATCAGGTGGGGACGCGGGGGGTGCCACCGAGTCCCCAGGCCACTGGGGAGCCGCTCACCTTCTCCGCTTCCTTCCAGGCCCTTAGAGGGAGAGAGGGAGACCGGAGGGATTGTGCCCCAGGCTCTCGGCCGCCCCAGGAGAGCCCAGCTGGGGTCCCGGGTGAGCACGGGCAGCCGATCCACTCCTGAAAACCACGGGCTGACCTCCGTTTGCCGTGGGCCGCGTCAGCCCCCACTGAACCCCAGGACTCTTCGCTGGCCTGTGTGGTGACAGCCAGCTTTCCCGGAGCCCCCAGGTGGAGGAAGAGAGAAACAGAAATACAAGGTTGAGGGGTTCCTTCCAGAGCGGCGGCCCTCACTCCCCCACCTGGGTGTGGCGAGGAGGACCCCACCCTCCCTGGGGGTCAGAGGACTGTGTCAGGAGGGACGCGCTGACCCTGTGGGTCCGTCTGATCATCCCCAACCCAGCCAAGCAGTCAGCAACCACACCCCCACCGCCTTCATGCAGCTCTAGCAACACGGGGTAACGGCCGTCTCCCCGAAATGAGAGGGCAAGTCCCGGTCAGAGCACTGATGGCGGCATGACAGCAGACTTCCCCTCTGACAGCAGCTGGGCGCTGGCAGGCAGGTTAGATGCAAAGCTTAAGCCCTGGCCGGTGTGGCTCAGTGGGTAGAGCGTCGGCCCTCGGACCGAAGGGTCCTGGGTCTGCGTCTCGTCATGTACCTCGGTGGCAGGTTCCCCGGCCCTGGTCGGGGTGAGTGCAGGAGGCAACCAATCGATGTGTTTCACATCGATGTTTCTCTCTGTCTCTCCCTCTGCCTTCCACTCTCTCTAAAAATCAATGGAAAAATTAACAAAAAAATATAAGGAGGATTAACAAAAAAATATGAAAAAATAAGAAATCAATCCAATAACATAGAAGCATGTCCCCTTCGGGTCCGGCAGACACTGTCCCGCGGTCGGAGCACAGAGTGAAGAAGAGCTTTACGGTGCGAAGGTGGGAAACGAAGCGGCCACCCAGGCCCCCTCCCTGCAGGCCCTGACCCAGGCCCCCTTCCCTGCAGGCCCCGGCCCACCCAGGCCCCCTTCCCTGCAGGCACCTGGCTCAGGTCCCCTTCCCTGCAGGCCCTGACCCAGGCCCCCTTCCCTGCAGGCCCCAGCCCAGGCCCCCTTCCCTGCAGGCCCCGTTAGCTGAGGCTCATGTGGAACGGAGGAAAGGACCCCAGAGGTGACCAGAGACCCAGCCAGCCTTGCAGGGTCCCGACCAAACAACGCGGGGCAGCTCCCCCGGCCTGGTCTGCCATGACCTCCTTCAGGTGGCCAACCCCGCCTGGACCCTGCCGAGGCCCCAGGTCTGGGGACCAGCTGTCGCCATAACAATGGCTCCCCGGCTCCCACTTCAAAGCAGCCTGGCCAGAGGCTGTCTTACCGCAAATATCTGGGTGTAACCTG